ACATGTTGGCCGCCGATATTATTTCTACTAGCCCTTGGGAAGCGCCCGTCATGCTTGTTAAGAAAAAATACAATAGTCTTAGGTTTTGTGTTGCCTTCCCTGAGTTGAACAAGGTTTCTGTGGCCGACGTATACCCACTTCCGCGCATGGACGACTCTCTAGATGCCTTGTCCGGTGCACGGGTTTTTCGACTCTCGATTTGTCATCGGGGTTTTGGCAGCTTCCTCTTGACGAGTCGTCGAAGCCAAAAACCGCGTTCTGCACACCGGTCTAACAGCTTGCGATTCCGTTGATTTCATTATTCTGGGTATTGCTCAAGAATGGGAGAGGGGAATGTGGTTGGTTGTTGAGTTGTGTTCTCTTCCCTCCATCTTGTTCAGTTTGCACAGGTTTCCTCATTAGGTGTTTTAATTGTTCCTGCAGATTGTTCCGCCTTCTCAGAAAATACTGGAGTCTTGTTTTGATAGCTCTGTTATTGTCGTACTTAAACCTGTGCATGGGTGCACTTACCTGTATATCTTTAGTATTAGCCGGGACGTTTATTTTTTTTATTATGGGGGTGATGTAATGACATCGTGACACCTGCTGGCTCGGAAAGGGGAGCATGGGTATGGGCACCACTAAGACAACATCCAATTTGAAAGGGAGAGGTATCTGGGGAAAAGGTAATAGGCGGGGTTGGTCGAGATGCCCCAGGAACCTGCTCGAAGGTTCCACAATTGGGCGTGGCCGGAGGCAGAGCCTAGTCGCGCCTGGGGAGATATAAGCGTGGACGGACTGGGGCTCAGAGTTCGTGTGTGGATTCTTGGGTCCGGACTGTATCGCTGCTCGCCGTCATCTCTCTCCGTCGTCCGGCGACGTGGAAGATCTCCTGCAGGGTTTTCATCGCCATCCTCGTGACGCCGTCAACCAACGGCGTAGTCGAGTGAGGGCGGTGGGACCACACCGAGTGATCGGCTGTGTGGAGCTAGTAGAGACGTTAATATCTAAGTGTTGTACTCAGAGTAAGACGGATAAGATTGGCCTGTGTTATGCCCGTGTGAGAAATAAATGAAGTACCCTCTATACAACATGTCGCGGAAGTTGCTCATTACAAATGTAAGCCCAGATTTATGCCACTGTAGTTTTGAAATAACATAGTCCATTATCTTTGCCAGGTTTTAACTGTTCCAACCTGTTCCTGCAACAGTGTACAAAATTGGTTCACCACAGTCGATATGCATGTGGCAGGGTAAAGTGTGTGTATCCCCACCTCTTCAAAGACAAACATGAAAAAGTAAGCCAAAACATCCTCTAAAGGAGACCTCTAGAGCTCACGTTGGTGGAAGCCCTTCCGCCAGCAGTGGTGTGAGCAAGAAATGCAGGGCTGCACCTTTGACAGAATACTTGTAGTGGTTCCATCATAATGTGAGGCTGTTACACCGTGTGGTTGTGCTGCTGTTATACGTTCCGTGGGGAGGGAGTGCGTTCTGACGAAATTTGCTGGACATGCATTGTGTCATGATAGAACCTCATTGGAACATCCTGGAACTGAAGTTATTAAAAACATGATCTCTTTCAAAAATAAGCAATGGGTCAATATTAGACAATGTTAGCTACTCCCATCATCTCTATGAGGACACTGTGTAAACATTTCAACTTAAAAATAATTTCAAGATTAACTTACATTTAACATTACAAATACATATATCAGAAAAGTAAATGTGGCATAACTATAGTGACAGTGAGCTATAATGTGCATTACCGAACATGCAAACAGGGCTTAAGGAGTTTGAAACTTTTCTTTTGTGGGTTGTAACAAATGTTGGCAAGCTTATTGGACGTAATACAGTCTGCTATTTACAATACGTATTAAGTATCATGCGCTGGAACATCAAACAGTAGAAATACGTGGGCTATACATATTGGTTTCTTTGCAGAGCAAATCATATTTGTAAACCATTCATTAATTATTATATTTACACATGGTCTCAGCTTTGTCTCCAATACTTCATTCGTCTATATTTGAAAGGCTTTGAATCGCTCTGCCAAGCACATCCGACGAGCGCGGTTGGCTACCTACGATGCGAAAGAAGTTCAACGTACATTCGTACAAGCAGGTTAGTAGGTTTCTGAGCCTATTTGAGGAAACGAAGCGGACATTATGCTGCGCCCCCGCCACCTCGGTCCGCATAATTTAAATTGATGAACTCCTCTTGAAACGAGAGAAGAGATTCAGACGAGAGATAGCGATGTAGCACGACGGGAGACGTAGAAAAATGTAGAGGTGCAGTAGTGGGACGAGAGAAGAGGAAGAGAGATATACAGAGAAGACAAACAAAGATGATACATTTCAAACAACAGACAAATATGTGAAAAGAGATACACGATACAGATCGAGTGAGACTGGTCAAGTCAGCTGCAGAGAAGATGGAGATGAGCCACATTTATTAGCATTTACGCTTATTTATGTTCGTGTGAATTTGATGTTTTTTTGTTCAATGCATGTGTAATGACGACTTGACACACTTCTCTTGAGATGGAACTTCATTGAAGATACGTTCACTTGACATCCAGAGGAGATCCCACCGCAACAGCCCCGAGTCTCCCACGAATCTCCCTTATATATTAACACGAGGCCACGCCCCCCTTCTCGATCATTCTCACTGACTCTGGACGCTCGCTCCACCGGCAGACTCTACCGTCCTCCTCCGTCACCTGACCACGCTCCCTTCTCGAACATTCCCGTCGCCACCAGTTCCTTTGCACTCACAACTGATACACTTGTCATTACGTACCGTGGCCACTAGTCCCCTCAGACCGCATGCAGGCTCGATTGTCATTACACATGGAAGCCCTCGAATGGCTTCCACATTAAGCGTCCCATCGTGTTTACTTAAAGCAATGCTGGTGAACTGCCAGATGTCTAATAATAATGATAAACAACACTTATCAGGCACTTTTCTACACGATATTCACTATACAATGCAAAGTTATACGTACATCATTGGCCAAGGGGAAAAACAACGAAGACAGTATCGGCGCTAATTTAGAGAACTTCTGTTGTTTCAGAATCACGAGCAACTGAAATTGAGAGAAATAGAAATAACTTTAATCGTTTTGACAGCTACAGGCTTAGTGCAGCCTGGAAGCGTATTATCAAATAATACATATTACAATTCCTTATGGTATGGAAAGAACCATCTGAGGACCCAATCAAAACCATAAATTTGCCATACATAGCAGGGGTCACAAAAAAGATTTCCAAAATCATGAGCAAACACAAGATCCAGGTACAATTCAACAGTACGTAAAATTCGTGATTTGATCCCATCTGTGAAAGATGTGATCCCTGACATGCAATACCCTGGTGTCTACAAACTATGCTGTGTCTGCGACAGCAGTTACATTGGGGAAACTAAGCGACATGTCTTGGTATCGGGTTTGTGAACAAAAGGCAGATCTGAAACACGGTAGGACCAATACCTCAGCTGTGGCTGATAATTATTTTAACGCTGTGGGCACACAGGAAACTTATTTTGCCAAGATGAAGGTACTCAGCAAACCCACTGGCTATCAGAAAAGATTCGTCCATGAAGCCATCCAGATATATAAACACAGACACAAATTCAACCGAGAAGATGGGTACAAACTGAGCAATCATTGGAAGGACATTATTAACCAGTTTAGGTCATAACTGGCTGTGTTGTTCCCTTCCTACCTACCTATGCTAGCAGTTATTTTAGACTCTCTGAGTTACATTCACTAACACAGCCACCGTTAGCTGTGTTAGTAAATGGCGGCTTGCCATCCTTTTCCACCTCCATGTGGCGATGTTCCTTTCCGAGCTCTCTCTAGCTTACATTTACAAGCAAATTTCTTACATTGACGTGTTAATCTCTATCAACACAATGACCACCCCCACAGCTTCGTTAATCAAGATTTCTCCTATCTTACATTTACATTCAAATTTAATCTCTAGCCCCGCCCACTAACCCTTGGGCTACACCGATATCAATCCTTTATAACTCCCTGCCTTAGCAGCGCTCACGCCATATAGTTTTTATTATTTTTCTATCTACGTGGCGTTACCACGGGGTGACCAGTCCCTCCCCACCCAGCCCCACCCCTCCCACCCCCCATCCAGCCCCTCCCCACCGTCCCCACCCAGCCCCTCCCCTCCCCACCCAGCCCCACCCTCCCCACCCAGCCCCTCCCCACCCTCCCCTCCCTACCCAGCCCCTCCCTCCCCACCCAGCCCCACCCTGCACGACGGACACAATAATCCCCTGTGGGCTGGTGTAACCAGGAGGTTCCTACCAGTATAAATCCTTAATCTCTACCATTGCATACAATGAAACAAGAGAAAAAGCGGAGCAATGCAGTACAATACACTATTAGACATTATTGTAAAAAAATAAAAAAGTGCATCCCATGTGTTAGTGAATGTTTTAATATTTTAGGCAGGAAATTAGTTTTAAAATTTATATATATATTTTTATGGGGGGGGGGGAGACCCCCGGACCCCCTGAAAGATTTGGTCCCCCCCAATATTCACTCCATGGCTACAGCTTTGCATCATACATAAGCGCTCTCCTGAGCAACAGTTCTTCCTTTACCGCTTCTTACCGAGACCTCCTCTTTCGTGGTGATACCACGCCTTAGCCCTTGGATGCATTCACACCAAGACGTACTCTCCTCCGCATCATGAAACACCATCGTCACCACCCCCACACACTTTGGAAATAAATAATACAATAAGGTGGGAACCGCGCAGGCTGGATCTAAAGAGAGGTTAGTTCTGAGTTACACTGCCTATCAATCCTCACTTTCTCGTGAGATATCACGTCCGTGACTTCAAACCGCTGTCTGCCGATAACAGATTCGTCATTATTCGTGTAGCGAGCGAGTTAGCGAGCCAGCCACAGTGATTACTAATTACTCGACCGAACGTAGAAAGAGAGCATCAGCAGCATCAAAAGGAAGGGATCAAGAGGAGCGTGTGACGAAACAAATCTGAGATGCCGATGTCAAAACCGCTGGAGACCGTGTGCGTGTCGCTGGTAATCCTGTGCTCGGTCCACCTCTTCGTGGTCTTGGTCGTGTACTCCGAGGTGCCCGCGAAGGCCATTTCGTTCCTGCGCCAAAGAAACCTGACGGACCGATCGGACGCCGACGCCGTGTGGCCCCCTCCGCCGATGAGGAAGAGGCACCAGGCAGACCTCGCACGCGCCACGCTCGGGGTGCAGGACAACGTCGATGTTCCGGGCCAGAGTCCTCGCCAGGAACCCACGGAGCTGTGTACCGACGACCCCGCAGGCCTTGGTGAGTAACATCCCGTCCGGCTTGAGAGGGTCCGTAACGACAATAGCAGTAATCCTATTGACTTGTAACTACACTGGCACCTCAAAACATATTGTAACAATACTCGCATTTATATTGCGCTCATGACGTTACAAAAACGTGTGTGAGCTTTACCTGGTCTTAGACAAGGTGAGAGGGGCATACAAAAGATAAGTACACGATACGGTACGGCGCAGTCATTGGTAAAACTGTTATCAAATGTTAAATGCTAAAAATTAGTAATAATAATACAATGTGCTCGTCTGTGTGTGTTTGATGCGTTATGATAAAGCTTGCTTCTGTGTGGTTACTGTTGAAGCAACTTTTTTACTCGACTTTAGAGCATTTATACGGGGAGGGGCTGAGTGGATATTGTTAGAGCGGATGGCTGCTTACCCTACACGGGAGAGTACAATAATTTAATGCGTTTTCTCCATGTTTATTTTATTTTGGGGGGTGGGCTATCTATAAATGGACCGCCGTATATAACATCCATGCAAATCCTCCTTTAAATCTCGGTGGTACGAGACCTCCCCACGGTGCAAAAACCCCCACGCGTACAGCACAATCATAGTCGGCCATGATCGATCCACTGCTGGATGAAGGACCTCCCCCAAGTCGTCATTTCGCGCGCGAGCTGATTTAATCGCTTCCATCTCCTGCCTGTGGGTGACCTCTAGAACGCGTTCCGTACCTTGGCTGCCACTCCGTCATTATCCTTCACCATTGGCCATCGTTCCTTCTAGCAGCGTCATTTCCACAAGTTAATATTTAACTCAACATTTTGAGTCGTAAAACTTGATTTGGAGCTTTCGTAACTGCAGGAATTACTCTTTGATTATTTCGGTAAAGTCACGTAGAAAGGAAAAATAATTAAATAATAGCATACGACGTTTCCATTTCAACACAAGCAATCATCAGCAGGTACAAATGAAAGCGAAAACAAACCTAGTAAACTTAGAAATATAATGCAATACAACAGAAAGTCGGCTGACATAACAGTCAATACCCTACCTGGTTGATTACGTTCTTCCAAATATTGCTTAATTTGAGTCGTGTCATTTCTACACGCGGCAATTAAAGAGAATACAAATCAAATACCTTGAACAGACTATGACGAGCACTCATGCAGGCCAGCAACGGAGCATGAGGAAGTGGTTTTACCAGCACCATGCCTGACCGCCTTAGTCTCTTGTGTCCATGATTGTACACAGCATCAGCTATACAATTACGGCTGAGTCGACTTAGGGGAAGCCAATAACCGCTTCCGAAATTTCTCACCGCTGCTGGACGTGAGCGGCAGTCAAACTCGAGTCGCCGCGACATGATATAATATCTTAATATCAAGTTTCCCAAATGTTTGTAATCGTATTTTACGATCTTATTGTCATGCATTTCCTCCCCTTCCTCTAATCTCAGAAACAATAAGGACGACTTAAGTCCTTCAATTGTAATTCACTGAACACGATCCTGCCACGTGTATTTTTAATCACTGCAGTTTATCATGCTGACTATGCACATACTATCAAGTTACACCCATTAAATCACACAATGGCATGCATCAATAGCGTAGTCATAATTATCACCTGAGTTAGAGGCGCCATTTTGGCGAGATGTTAACAACCTCGCCTGGTATGCAAGAGGTCGTGGGTTCGATCCTGACCCCGACACCTGCTGTGTAGTTGGAGTTTACGTGGTTCTCTCGATCCCCGCAGTCGAGTGTATTTTTCTCAAGGTCCTCCGGTGTTTCCCCTCCATATTTATAATCAACATCACTCGTTTCGATTATTTGGCTGCTATAAATGTCAAAGAGATAAGCCACTTCGTTGAGCTATCATTTGTGGCCAGGTCGCTTCTGAAAAAGTGCTATATAGCTCAGTGGGCCTAACCTGGTAAAAAAAATTGCTTAGATTGGGGGGGGGGGCCTCAACATTACATCCCTTGCCAACCCCCATGCTAATACCCCGCCCCCCCATGCCAACCGCACGATAGCCGTTTGGCTGAGGGCCAGTAGTTGGTTTGACAAGGCAACATAAGTGGAAAACAACCTCCCTTAGTGCGTATTCTAAGTCAAGCGTAGGGGGAAACTTTTGGTTTATTAAGTAAGCAGCCAAAGGTCAATAAGAACTTTGCATGCGCTTATGTGGAGTTTGAAGACAGGAGGGTATAAGAATTCGTTAAACAGTTTGACTTGAGAGTTACAGAGCATTTATCATATTACTGTTTAATATCGTTTCTGAGCTATACATTGTATATACATATTGTCCTCGCACTTAATTTGACTTTACATATTACATATAATGAGAATTTCCATATTGTCCAATGTAGTCCATACCTGAACATTTATCGGCCTCGGTCTATCACAACTCTGCAGTATACTGTAATTAAGTTCAACACAATCTCAACACAGATCTTTATACAAATCAATTCATGCTATCCAAACACATTCAAATCAGCATTGCCAAGTCTCTTGAGAAAAAAAACGAGTGGCACTGCCTTTCAAAACAAACTTAATATAAGCTGAACAAACCATGGGAAGAAACCGGAGGAACTGCGGAAAAAAACCCACGCGTGCAAGGGAGCAACACTTTATCCCAGTATATGGCACCTTGACGCGCACGGGAAGGAAGTTTTACAAAAAAATGTGTGATCCACCAACCCTCACTGCCTTCACAAAGCTGGATTCTAGGCGTGCATAGCCAACCACCGCTGGGCTAGATAGAGGATTGAATGTGAAGGTGAAATAAAAATAAATCAGTTTTTTAACTGTTGTAGTTTTGCAGCATACAACATTAAGTTGTGTCTATGGTTGGTTCATTCTCCCGGCCATACATAAGATATAACGGGGAGAATCCCATAGAGGCGTGTGGGGCTATTTAATAAATGAGGCACGAATCCCATTGCAGTCCTGCTAGGACTAACTCCATGAGCCTCTGAAATGTGGCCGGTGCCGAATGTAATCCCATGGGAAGACAATTGAAATGGTACAGCCCTTGAGGTTTTCTACCTGCAGTTTTTGGTTTTGATTATTCGTCCAAGGGCAGCTGCCAGAACCCCGAAAGTAAATCCAATGTGGAAAAAAAACGGGCGCCCGATAATGCATCAAGGGAGTCGTCCATCTGTAGAAGTGGATATGCATCTGCCAATGAGACTTTGTTCAATTTTCGGAAATCAACACAAAATCTCAGGCTTCTGTCTTTCTTTTTAACCAATACCACCGGTGCTCCCCAGGGGCTTGTTGACAAAAATATTACATTCACCTCCAACATTTCCTCTACTGCCAACTGTACATTTTCCTTTTCGTCAGGACTCAGCCGATATGAGTTCTGTCGAATAGGAGCAGCATCACCCGTATCAATGTGATGCTGTAGCAGCGAGGTACGACCAATGTCGAATTTGCTCTTGCTAAAAATGTCAGAAAATTGTATCAACAACCGCAAATCGTTGCGTTGTGCCTCGGATAGATTTTGGTTTTCCCCACACAATTCTGCTGCCCATTTTTCATTAACCTCGGCCCTTAAATCCACTGTGCCTATGAAGTCCCCCCCAGGGGACCTAGCAGCCTCACAACCTGCAGCCGTCGCATGAGCCAGCACCGTACCTGCCTGGACCACTGCGGGTCTCACTCCTCCATTTAGGACCTGGAAAAATGGCTCCCGGTTCACCCGTAAAATCATCTGCACACCCACCAGCGTGAGGCCGCGGATCACTATGTTTGAAGGAATAAGGAGCACTCCCACCTCAGGGTCAGTCAATTTAAAGTGGTTGCAGTATCGTAGAGGGACTAACATTTGCGTGCCTGGTGGAATCTCCATGCTCCCTCCGTTAGCCGCAGTACACCCATTTCTTACTGGCATAACTTAACGGTTCCCTGATGGCAACGTGTCAAAAAAATTTTGTGAGATGATAGTGGCCGAGGCCCCTGTGTCTATTAACATGCGTACCTCCACCCCCTCGATGTAGCCAGCCACTGCCGATGTGCCGGATGTGCCGGCCGACACCGCCACAACCCGGCGAGCCAACTTCATCCATTGGGTGCTCGAATGTGGCCAGCCGCCTAGAGTGGGAACCTGCTGTACCTTGTTGATGGCTAAGGGATGAGGGATGTAAATGACGTTCAAACTCTTCGACGTAGATGCGTGAGGTGGTTCGGGCTGGGTGTCTGGTGTGTCACGACTTGCCTGCTTGGGTTGTGTAGCGGACGTCGGCGGAAGGTTGGATATAGGTGATGCCGCAGTTGGTTGGGCGTCGCTCCCGCATCCTTGGGCGATGTGTCCAGGCTGACCACATCTGAAGCAGGTGAAGGCAAGTCTTTGCTGGGGGAGGGGGGGGGTCGCCTCCCTCCTAGGCCTCCAATCTCGAGGTCTCCCCCTGCCGCTGAACCCAGGCTTGTACTGCCGTAGTCCCTTCCCTCTCCAGCTCCGGATCCTGCTGCGCCGTCGTGTGGTTGCTCCTTGCCGATCGGGTGGTCGAGGCACCGCTCAACTGGGGCTCACCTGCCCAGGCTACTACCCGAGGCCGCCGGTTCATGCTTTCATGAGCTTGCAGGCACCTGGCCACCCATAGGGATGTCTGCGCTTCTTCATCAACGACAGGCAGCACAATCCCTGTCTCCTGCGCCAACATCAGCAATTTCTCCATCGCAAACGAGTCCAGTATAGCCAGATCCATACGCGGATAGGCCGCCTGCCCAAGCGCCATCAAAGCGCTGTGGTAAGCGAGGGGCGTTTCAGCCTCCCCCTGTCTCCGTTGCAATAACTTCTGCCGCATGTTGGATGGTGGCTCAAAGACGGCCGCCATCTCCCTGTAGGCTCGTTGAATTGTGGCCCTCGACTCGATTGGAATGGCTCGGAATGCTGCAAGAGCATCGTCCTCAAGGGCCGTTAGCAGGACCCACAGAGCCTCCTCTTCCATCAACCCTACGGACTTGTAGGCTGCCTCAAAACGGCGAGTAAAAGCAGCCCAGTCCCTGCCCACAACGA